GCCGTGATCTGTGTTTGTGTGTGTGTTTGGGGGGGGGGGGGGTTCTGTAAGGCGGCACGGCACGACCATGTGAGATCGGATTATGACCAACCATGTGTGTTGTAGCCCGGAAATGTGGCTTGTTCGTATGAGGATATGGAACTAACATAGACCGATCCTAGCAATGGTCCTGACCTGGCTCTCTTGTTTCGCATCAACAAGTCACTACAATCTACATGTGCATGTCATGTAGTGTACGGATGTCCAGGATATCACTGCTGCTCGGTTCTGAATAATTTTTCTTTCTTTGATCTCGTATAGAATAATAAGTGGATCTACGGGGGGTGGTCTATCCGGATGAATACATGTTTAGCGTTATGTCCGGAGTGCGGCTTGTGTTATCTGTTTGGGGTACTAGTGGTACTGGTAGAGCCAACTCAGCAGTCAGATAAAATCATGCATGCACCGACTGATATGATTGTACGTGCGCTACACTACGGCTACAGATCTACGGACCGTGTCCAGGTACTATAGGGCTTGAAAGTGCTACGTCACAGCATACCAACAATTTCAAAAATTCAAAAATTGGATCCACTTGGATCCAGTTTTTGTATGGATCCAAGCACATTTCAAGCCGTCTTACTCTCAGCATTGTGATGTAACCAGTGAAACTGACTGATTTGGCTACTGGGGGCGGGGTTACAACTGGTGGCGAAGTAAAAGTCACCCCTGCATACGACATGAGTGGGTTGCTATGCACCCACATACTGAGGCAATAGCAAAGTCACACCTTAGTGGATCCAACATAGAAATCTGATGTCAACTTAGTACTCCCTGGCCGTTTTTGACGTCATCACTTTCAAGCCATAGTACTAGTACTAGGTCACCGTGCATGAGGTTTGACACGTGAGTGATGACGCGTGTGTTATCAAAAGCCTTTTTGAAAATTTTGCCCATTTGCGCTAAAAAAACAAGGACAAAAAAAACAAAACAAGAAACAACAAGAGCACCTCGATCTCGCCTTCATAATGTTAGATCTACCAGCTAGCGTTAGTGTTTTGTTATGCTAAGGTCAGAAAGGACTTAGTGGCACTCGCTGGTTTATCTCATCAGTTGAAGAATATTCCTTATCCTGGCGTCGATCGCTGAGAAGGTGCACTATTGGCTACTGACGTGGATAATAGTTTGTTACATTCACAACAGTGTTGCTGTGGTAATCTGCGCAGTGCTGAACATCTCTATTCACTGTGCAACTGTGTCATACCGCTATCAAAACTAATTACTTACTGGGGTGAGAGAATTATGTATGTACGAAAAATGAGATGAATGTTGAAGAAACAATAGTTGACTGGCGGGCTGAGACCGCTGAGTGCGTTCGAGTTTTCCGGATTTCAATGGGCGCTTTCCATTACACGTTTGCACAATTCTGGAACTGGGTTTTGTACTTCTCGAATGACCAAAATGTGCGAATTCCGGCTATGTAAACGAACGACCAGAATTCACAACGCATTTTATTCATGGCATATGATATCACAAACAAAATTGGTCGAAAAAAGAGATCACGCACACCCTCGCGCGCACGTGGACCCAACTTTGCGTACCGGACTACCGGTCCATCCCGGTGATCGTGAAGCCTCCATGTCGACAACAATATTGGGCTTCGATCAAGCTGAACCTGTGTGCGAAAGGACCACCCAAAATGATCTGCTCTAACAATCAGCCCCCAGCGGTAACTCAACTGCGGCAAATAGCTTTTCGGGAAGACATAAGACAGTAGCAACTACTGTAAAAGCCATTATTCTAACGAGGCGCATATATAACGATTTCCCAAAATCGACTGGCTTACGTGTACCAAAGGTAACGATTCTCACCTATTCCCAACGCTCAATAGAACAGTATATGTATCGATTTCTATTTTAACGACAGATTTCTCCTCGTTAACTCGTTAGAGTTACTTCGTTATATATATATATATGGCTTTTACAGTACATGCAGTTGTAGCCCTGCTTTCGCGCCACACCGACCAGGGAGGCTCTTCCTTGACCTGAGTCATGCATGACCAGACCGGTAACACACCGAGTGTGCAATTCTGGCGCCAGAATTAGAGAAATTCCGCCTTCTCTTCAGAATTGACGGAATTGGATAAATTCAATTCTAACGACAGAGTTTGTGTAATCGAACAGTGCATCAACAATAGCTAATTCTAGAATTGACTGATTTGAGTGTAATCGAACGCGCACAATGTGGCAATGTCATACTGTGTTGTGTATCGGATATGCATAATCTTACCACCCTATCTGACCTTTCGGCCGACGAAAAAATCGAGTGGTTAAACCGTTTAACAACTCCTAAAAATACATGTAGTAGAGAACGAGTACGCCAGGGTACATGTTGGTGACTCGTTTACCCATCCTTAGTTAGGCCAAATTGCCAGGGAATTTCGATGTGGTTGACTGAAGTTTGTTTTCGAGTCAAACAACACGTGTACATGTAGTTATAAACTGACTGAAGTGATCTTTTGCATTCAAGTTACTGAAAACCCAAAAAAGCAGTTTTACGAATCACGTCCTTCGTGATTGATCTGATTGAGGCAATAAGTGTTGGTCACTGAAATCTGGTCCATGTAAGTCAGCTAATACTGGACACTGTGCAGCCGTAGTTTTTCAACATTGGGTTGTGCACCGCTGTATGGCCGGAAATGTATTATTCATGATCCCGGATTTCATCTAGCATGGCTGTAGATATTGTGTACAGTTGCATGTATATCTGATCTGTAGTATGTTGTTTATGTGTATGTGTGTGTATGTGTGTGTATGTGTGTGTGTGTGTGTGTGTGTGTGTGTATTTTGCCGCACTGTGTGTTATTCTCTACAGACCGGCAGTACGTAATCTTCTGAGAAATTCTCAGTAATCCACACCATACACTGTACGCTATACACCCGTGTACTACTGAATATACAACATCACCAGGAGAACATGTTTTCTTCAAAGTTACATGGCAATCTCAAGACTGTCAGTAAGTTTGTTCAGCGTGGTTATGCTGTGAGTGTACAGAGCCGGTTAGTCCAGTCAACCAGCGGGTCAAGGTTATGTGTTACTAGTAAGGTGACTCAGACATCAGCACAGTCCAGGCAGTCAGTTAGGTGGAGATCAGATCAGTCTGGTCGTCAAGTCACTACGGTACATGATGCTGTTGATGCCATTTATTCAATCTTTGATAGCATTGTGAAGTCACGCACTTTTCAACCCAGCTATCTACTGTCACAATGTTCTCTCATCCAACGACATGTTACTGAACTACGGAGTTCAGGCATGATTAAGGTTACCCTTCGGGCATGCGCTCTTGTCAATGAGGAGAACACTGATGTCACAAAGCTTACAGAGTTTTTACTTAATCAGCTAGCCAGCCTACCTACTGAAATCTGGCAAGAAGGCAGGAACCGACACAACCTGAGATGGGCAGTGTACTGGGCCGCAAAGTGCCGATGTGCAACTCCAGAATTCACGAAATTACTACAACAGCAGCTTGATGTCATGTGCATTGAGGAATGTAGAGCTGTTGATCAGTGTGCATATGCATTGTTTATGTTGAGTATGCCTGATCGTCACCTGGCCCAACACTTGATGAATCGCTACATTACCATCCAGAGTACAGGTGATCCAAAGTATCGTCATACTCAAGTACTCTCACTACTTCTCTACTGTACACTGTGTGGTGTAGAGTGCAGTGCCTTACTGGAGCTGATCAGTGTTGATCATCTGATACAGAGTAAGTCTATTCCAGAATAAGACATATTGAATAGAGAACTGTGGTCGGCTGGTGGTGGTACGAGTATTTCCTTGCAGCACGGACTTTCAATGCACATCCACACCAATATCCTGTATGTTGTCTTTTTGTGGATAATAAATCACTGTGTATTTTTTCACGCAATCTGAAGATTCCAGATTGCCTGCGTAATCTGCAGATTGCGCACGCATCCTGGTGTGACACGGAAATATTTGTGTTGCCAGACCAGGTAAATCCTTGTCCCTGCTCTTCCGGGATACTTCTGGGAATACGCCCAAGTACATGTACGTGTGGTGCAAAATTCACGTGTGTGGTTCATGAAATCTGTGGGTTTTGCTGAGAACCTGAAGAGCACAACAAATTCATGTGGGGCGCAATCTGTGGACTTTGTTGAAAACATGAAGAGCACAGCGAATCCGTGTGGGGCGCTATCTGTGAATTTCACTGAAAAACATGAACAGCACAGAGAATCCATGTGGGGTGCAGTCTGTGGGCGCAATCTGTGGTTTTTGTCACAGTGTGTACTGCTAAGGAAGGTATGCATTCACATACATAATGGTGTTGCATGTTTTTGAGTGTATGTTGAGTGATTCAAACTTAAATTTCCAATGAAGTTGCCATGACAGGCTTATGTTTGATATTGAATCATGTACAGTGAAACGTGTCTAAGGCGACCCCTCAGGGGAAGAGAAAAAGTGGTCGCCATGCTGGGCCAGGTGGTCTTCTTATCCAGGTTCAGTGGGTCACGTGACCATATCCACATGTGAGTGGTCGCCATTACAGGTTTTACTGTATGTGATCAGTACGGTCGTTCAGTTTTGTGCAATGTTATCGCATGAGCTGATTGTCAAGTAACTGGTGGTGTTAGTGGACATTATAGCATAACTTGTAGTTCCTTGCTCCTTTTCTTTACTATAAATATAACCAAGAGTGTATAATTTTAAGTCTCGAGTACTCGAATTGAAGGACATGTCCATGTATCCGGAACATTTGTTTCCTGGCGAAATATTTTTTTGTCTAAGAGCATGTCCCTGCATGCGAGTGAATACGATATCTAGTTATGCACTGGATTGAAGAATGCGACCGATTATCGGTCGCATTCTTCAATCCAGTGCATATTATACTCATGACAAGTTGAGTAACATACTCGTGCAAAGCCATGTATGTTTGTAAACAGGACAGACATTATGTACTGACGTATGTATACAGTATTATTAAGTCACACACCGACTATGACTCATGTAGTGTTCTGACTTTTAAGTGTGAGGAGTAACACAAGTAGAGCTGGTGTGAATATGACCAATGATCACATCCAAATGTCAACTACTGCTTGAAATTTTCATTTTCACATTCTGAGATATTGCTGGTCTGTGTCCATACCACTGTGTGTTCCTCTCAATTCTGTCTGTCCTGACTTCTGTGCAGAATGCGATCCTGGCCATGTCCAACTGCTTTTTTTGCACAACACCCTCCTTGGTACTAACGACCAGCGGCTACAGATATTGGAAACATGTTTGGTGCGGTTCCGAAAGGCTGTGGCAAGTCGGTATTCAGGTCGAATGCATGATATGCTGTCATACTTCATTGGCTCAAAGTACACCACTGGCATTTCTCTGGTTGATGGTTTGCAAGTTCAAGCATTCTGCATATTCAACCGAGACTATGAACCAGTGGAGACTGACGCGTATCCAGCTGATGTGTACAATGGTGTATCAGTAGATATGTCAGCAGCTAGACGTCATGGTTTCAGTGTTGTGGCATGTCGGGGTGTGAGTGACACACAGTTACTACGTCATCCGGCTTGTGCACCTATCGGGTATACCACTCTTGAGGCATTGGCACTCAAATCTCAAGGATGCTATATTATTCCGGTGAGTTCCAGTGCTAGTGATTTGATTTTGATGATGTCTGCCTTAATTCTTTAGTGACAGTGGGAAGAAAAGAGCTTGTGTGTCATGGCCGTGTTGCGGGTTAGTGACCTGGCTTAGATCAGTCTAGTGGCTACCCAGCCTCCCAGGTAAACGACCAATATAGTCGCCATCCAAGTTAGCTAGCTCACACAGAACGACAGGTTTCTAATTCCACTTGAACCGTGTTTATTGAACTATTGCAATGCTTGATCGAAAGATCAGCGTGAAGAGTCAAAGACCCAGACAGAGCAGGGGAGAGTCGGAGTGACTCTCCCAGGATCGAGAGTGAATTGAGGGAGTAGTGAGCTCCCCAAGAGTCGAGGATGAATGTCAGCAAAACAGCTCCTTATATATGCTACATTATGTGATCAAAACTATACAGCGGCAAGAATGCGTAAGGATTATTTCTATATTTCAAACAGTGGTGTAATCAGCCAAACTAGAATGTAGTACAATGATCAATTCGGGTAGCCCGCTCACCCAAATGTGAATATTAATCATCTCCATATGCTGGCATTACCTTGGTCCGCGATCCGGTGGTTGGGATGCATTGCAGCTGGCGAGAAGCGTAGCTGTGTCATTCTTGTGGCTTCACCAAAGGCGGGCTCTTCCCCCAAACATAGCAGCAGACGGCAGAGCAAAAGCAAAAGGGTACGGAGTCCACAGTACACGAAGCACTGCAGACCCTTTACGTCGTACGGCGCGAGAAGAGGCGCCACTCTTGCTCAACTAACAAGGGTATCAGCTCCCTTGCAGGACCAAGTGTAATAACTGGCCCCAGAGGCAATCGCACTCACTAACTCAAACACTCACTTCGTAGTTTACCAATATTATCAGGAAAGAAATAGTCTACACACTTGGAATGCAAAGAGGGTAGAAAAGCAACAAGAAAGAAGAAAGCAAGGGAGCAAAAGTCCGGCAACCGGCAGCCATGTTTTAGGTTATTAACCAATAAGCAATCTACGAGAACCGGTTGCCGTCGAAATTCTGGAAACTTCTGGAACATTAGTGTAATCAGCCAATCACAGGTCACAGCTCTGGAACATTCTGCAACATTAATACTAGCAGCCAATCACAGTTCGCAACAGACAGTCATACGGGTAAAGTGGAGAAATACGGGTTTAGCCATACACGCCTCATACATTGCTCGCAAGCGACTCACGGCAAGGGTAATATCATGCAGATACAAAATACGCAAGGAGAGAAAAATGTAACTAACTGCCCATCTTAGGGTTCGAACCTAGGAATCTGTATCCACACAACCTCTACAAATTAATACTCTTAACTGTGAAAATATACTTGCTATCAAAATGCAACTCCTACACTAGCGTGGTCCCCTAAAGCTCAACAATGTAGCGAGTACAACGCTGACGACTTGTTGTGCACGCATGGTCATGTGTACAGGTTTCCTGCATTCATGTCTGGAGTAGTCTGACTGTCATGTTCATTGTCGTGCTGTGTTACGGTCACGCGAGTCGGCATCTTAGTGCACGACAATGCAGTCTGCTTACGCTCTCTTTGTATGCATTCATGTCAGGCGATAGAGCGGCCCTCATTTGCATGCTTCGACGGGTCCGGGTCTCTGGTTTCACATGTGCCGTGCTCGGCCTTCTGTGCCTTTATGTTGCCCTGCTGTATATTATACCATGGTGCTTTTCCTTTCGGCTAGTCTTCAGTAGTCTTCTTCTTTAGCAAGTTAGTTGGAAACACAATAACAAGGAAGTTTGCAATGCGAGTTGAGCCTGAAGTGAGCCTGAAGAATACAGTCTAGAAATAGTAGAATCCAGTAAAGCGAGCCAGACAGAGAGCTGGCCACTTGTACTGAAGGTGTCGTCGACGTACGACAACACTTGGTGGCTCTCTGCCATGAGTTGTAAGCCATGATTGCTCAACTATCAAAAGTACCAAATCCTTCGCAGGGCGAATCATGGTTCTTACAGAACTCTAGAATATTTCGGAGTCCAGCTTTTGGCTTTCTGAACTCAATCTATGGTTGCTTTCACGACGAGTCTAATCCTGGTCATGACATGTACACAATGAGAGTTTGGAGTGTTTTTACTGCCTCCTGTTGCACTAGTCTCGTAGTACGACTTAGCCTCACCCTTCTGAAGATGATATTCAATGACGGATTGACTATAGAGACATTTATCCCATGGATGAGCTACACTTTTGAATTACACCACTATTTCTTGCTCTCTTGATAGATGGTACTCAAACATGGCGCTCGGTACTCGCAGAGAAGCAGACACTTTATTCCGGATTTGCTGATCAATTATCCGCATCACATTGGCGTGTTCAAAGACCTGTTGCCGGCCAAGCAGTGATGAATATACACACTGATGTCATACTTAACACTATGGTAAGTTTACAGAATGTTAGATGATGTATTTGTCTAGTTTTGGTCTTGCAGTATCGTTGGCTGCAATGTCTAGTTTGAAAAGAGAAATAAAACTGATTGCAGAAGTATAACATAAGTACATGACACAAACAGGGCAGGCAGGGCAGCTCGAAGTAGCCGTGAACGCCGCTGTCTGATGTTTGCTGAAATGTGTTAAACTTGTACAGCTTCACAGCCCTCCGCCTCTAGTGTTTGTCTACATAACAGGACATGTATACAGTGTCTGCTCTAGGATTGTAGGACACGTGTACCTGGCGCAACCATTTCAACCGGGTTGGAGCCGGGTACACATGTACCTGGCGCTGTCTCACTAGCCGAGTCACATGCTTTAACTGGTTGGTTGGTTTATTTTAATTCGGACAATAAACGGGAACTAGGCCCAATGATATAAAGGCGAATGGCTAAGCCGCATTGAGAAAAAGAGAGGACAGGAATTAGAAAATTACGAAAGAAGAAGAAGTATCTGACACATACAAGCCATGTAGTTAGTCCTTTCAAAGTTCGAAAGTGTAAAGTACCAACCGGGTCACAGGTTACCCGGTACTATCTTATCAACCGGGTGCAAGCGCCGCCCAACCGGGTGGATTACCCGGCTCACCCGGCGCTGGAGCAGACACTGGTATATGGTAATGGAGACTGTAATTAACAGCATGTTAGATTCTCGCTTCGGATGGATTTCTTGTACTTGGTAATGGACCACACTCGAAACCGTGATTGGTTGTTGGTTTTTGTGGCTGGATGAAAGGGCATATTAGACTGTATGACTGGTTGCAAGACCTGTAACTGTTCACAGGGGCCGGACTGTTCACCGACGACCGTATTTACTGACTTGACTTTGCAACTAAGTGAATGGGCTGAAGTGTTATTTTGTCGTGAACTGAATTTTTGACATCATGTTTCATGCACAAGTAAATGTACTTGCAAGTACATGTACGTTAAAAAAACTGCTCTCGCAGGTCTTATTGATACAGGGCAAGTTTAGAAAAGAGGGTCACGGCTTCCATGACTAATCAAAATAAAATGTAAACGAGGAATTCTGCTGGCCCCAACGGTTCCAAACCCATCTCCAGAGTTGCACACTCCACTGCATCATGTACTCTTGCTGACGTTACAGTCAGTATTAAACAGAGATACATCGTAGTACATGTGGCTAGCCTCGTCAAGAAAGAAACTTGATAACCACCATAGAGAGTGGAGTGCGCTGTGTACTACTTCCTGATCTTAAAAAATTGTAATTGCTGTTTGCGTGGGTCTTCTGTGTTCTCTCAGGTACCTCGGAACAGCAGAATACTATGCCGAATTGTGCAGGAAGTGTGTGATAATATCATGGGAGACTGGAATATGGTGTCCATCTTTTGATTTTTTTAAAGTTAATATTTCTCCGATTCCTTCCTTTTGCTGCTGAGCTGAGTAGCTGAGTAGCAAGAGTAACCGAGAAACTGAGCAACCGAGTAACTGAGTACATCGAATGTGAGAGGGTAGTGCTGCTAGTGCTAGTGTAGTATGCATTGATTTGTGTTTTTCAAATCAAGGCATTGTTGAGTTTGTGTGTGTGATTACTTTACTTCCAATTTTCTTTTTTTCTGTTCTGAGTGCGTATACAATGTACATGTACGTTGATATTGTGAATCCTCCACATGTGTATTCAGCTTCCATTGTGCGTGAGTGTGTGTGCTTGTACATCTATTTCCCATGAAGTTCGTTTTTCTTTGTGTGGGTATATACGTTGATATTGTGAATCCTCCACATTTGTGTTGTTCCTTCCATTGTCCATACAACACGTAGTACATGTAGCGTCTGGAGTAGCCAGGATCCTGATTCTTGACTGAGCTATGCAAAACACGTTATAAAGGTGGTAGCGTCTGCCGTGATCTGTGTGTGTGTGTGTGTGTGTGTGGGTGTGGGTGTGTGTGTGTGGTGTGTGTGTGTGTGTGTGTGTGTGTGTGTGTGTGTGTGTGTGTGTGTGTGTGTGTGTATGTGTTCCGTCAGGCCGGCAAGTCATGTGTCGGTGACAGGAGGACAAAGACTAAAAGACTCTCTCTGAGCTGGCACTGCACCAGGCGTGGGTCGATTCACCCGTGACACGTGACTAAGTACCAGCACATGCACAGCTAGCTCAGCAAATTTATGATGAATTTTGATGTTGATGAAGTACACCATGTAGCCAGTGAAAGAAACAAACATGTGGCGAGAGTTCTGTGCTGAGCTCTCTTGTCTCTCTGGGTTGTTTTTATGTGAAAAAGAGAAGAAACACATGAGAACATTAATTTTATTACTGGCTCAGTATCCGAGTTTATATTTTATGTGTATGCTGATGTGTGACGGTGTGGGTGTTTTCTGTAAGGCGGCACGAACCATGTGAGATCGGATTGTGACTGATCACGTGCGTTGCAGCCTGATGACGTGGCTTGTTCGTATGAGGATATAGAACTAACATACATGTATGATGTAGACCGATCCTAGCGATGGTCCTGACCTGACTCTTTTGTTAATCATCAACAAATCACTACAAATTCTACAATAGTCATGTAGATGTACATGTCACGTAGCGTACGGATGTCCAGGATATCACTGCTGCTGGGTCTGAATAATCAGTTTTCTTTCTTTGATCTCAGAGTCGTATTGAAAAATAAGTAGATCTACCGGGGGGGGGGGGGGGGGGGGGGGGAAGAAACAACAATAGCGCCTACTACATACAAATGACGTAGTAGTACTACAGAGCTGGCAACTGAAATCCGACCCCCTTGGCGGCGCGGTGCGCCGCCAAGGGGGTCGGATTTCAGTTGCCAGCACTGTACATGTACGCTGTACCTCGATCTCGCCTTCATTATTATTTTTAGATCTACCAGCTAGCGTTAGCGTGTTGTTATGCTAAGGTCAGAAAGGACTTGGCGGCACTCGCTGGTTTATCTCATCAGTTGAAGAATATTCCTTACCCTGGCGTCGATCGCTGAGAAGGTGCACTATTGGCTACTGACGTGCATAATACTTTGTTACATTCACAACAGTGTTGCTGTGGTAATCCGCGCAGTGCTGAACCTCTCTATTCACTGTGCAACTGTATCATACAGCTATCAAAACTGACTGGGGTAAGAGAATTATGTATGTACGAAAAATGAGATGAATGTTGAAGAAACAATAGTTGACTACGAGGGCTGAGTGCGTCAGTTCGAGCAATTGTTTTCCGGATTTCAATCTGGCGATGTGTTGTGTATCGGACATGCATAATCTTACCACCCTATCCGACTTTTCGGCCGACGAAAAAATCGAGAAGTAGTTTAACAACTCCTAAAACTAGTAGAGAACGAGTACGTGTACATGTTGGTGACTGGTTTACCCATCCTTAGTTAGGCCAAATAATAATTGCCAGGGAATTTCGATGTGGTTGACTGAAGTTTGTTTTCAAGTCAAACAACACGTGTACATGTAGTTATAAACTGATTGAAGTCACACTGTGATTTTTGCATTTTCTTGTAAACCCCCAAAAGCAGTTTTACGAATCACGTCCTTCGTGACTGATCTGATTGAGGCAGTAAGTGTTGGTCACTGAAATCTGGTCCATGTAAGTCAGCTAGTACTGGACACTGCAGCCGTAGACCTTCCAACATTGGGTTGTGCATTGCAGTACGGAAATGTATTATTCATGATCCCGGATTTCATCTAGCACGGCTGTAGATATTCTGTACAGTGATCATATAGTTCCATGTAGTATCTGATCTGTTGCATGTGTGTGTGTGTGTGTGTATGTATGTATGTGTGTGTGTGTGTGTGTGTGTGTATGTATGTATGTGTGTGTATGTGTGTGTGTGTATGTGTGTGTGTGTGTGTGTGTGTGTGTGTGTGTGTGTGTGTGTATTTTGCCGCACTGTGTGTTATTCTCTACAGACCGGCAGTACGTAATCTTCAGAGAAATTCTCAGTAATCCACACCATACACTGTATGCTATACACCCGTGTACTACTGAATATACAACATCACCAGGAGAACATGTTTGCTTCAAAGTTACATGTCAATCTCAAGACTGTCAGTAAGTTTGTTCAGCGTGGTTATGCTGTGAGTGTACAGAGCCGGTTAGTCCAGTCAACCAGCGGATCAAGGTTATGTGTTGCTAGCAAGGTGACTCAGACATCAGCACAGTCCAGACAGTCAGTTAGGTGGAGATCAGATCAGTCTGGTCGTCAAGTCACTACGGTACATGATGCTGTTAATGCTATTGAGTCCATCTTTCATAGCATAAGGAAGAAACGCACATTTCAACCCGCCAGTGAACTGATATCACAATGTTCTCTCATCCAACGTCATATCACTGCACTACGGAGTTCAAACAAGATCACGAACATCCTTGAGGCATGTGCTCTTGTAAATGAGGAGAACGCTGATGTGAAAAAGCTTACAGAGTCTTTACTTAATCAGCTAGCCAGCCTACCTACTGAACTCTGGCAAGAAGGCAAGAACCAACACACGCTGTTATGGGCAGTGTACTGGGCCGCAAAGTGCCGATGTGCAACTCCAGGATTCACGAAGTTGCTGCAGCAGCAGCTTGATGTCATGTGCATTGAGGAATGTAGAGATGTTGGTCAGTGTGCACATGCATTGGTTATGTTGAATATGCCTGATCGTCACCTGGCCCAACACTTTATGAATCGCTACCTGTCCATACACAGTACAGGTGATTCCAAGCATCGTCATACTGAAGTACTCTCACTACTTCTCTACTGTACACTGTGTGGTGTAGAGTGCAGTGCCTTGCTGAAGCTGATCAGTGTTAATCATCTGACACAGAGTAAGTCTATTCTGGAATAAGACCTTTGGAATAGAGACGTGTGTCTGTTGGTTGTGGAATTTCTGCTCACACAGAGTTAAAAGTGACATTCATACCACAAACCTTTGTAGTAATTGTCCTTGGTGTCTCAGAGTTGAAACCAAGTGTTGTTTTAAACAAGAACAGAAACGATCTCAGTCTGTGGCGTTTACTACACAGTTTTCTGCAGTGATGCAGGCTCACTTTCACATACACATAATGATGATGATGATGTATGTTGTAAACTGATGGGTTTCTGATAAAGTCATGATGGCAGGATTATATGTATGATCTTGAGTCATGCAGATGGACAGTCTGGAGCCATTCCAAACTTGTCTTACTATTTTCTCAATCAATTACCTTCTAGTTACATTGGTTGGGCGTCCTGCAGCTTCATAATACTTTAAGTACTATGAGAAGTTTTGAGCACACATGCAAGTTTATACCTCAGCACTACAAAATCACACCTCAGTCCACTGTATCAGCTTCGACATTTCAACAAATTGCGATCACCAGAATGCAGTACACTCAATATGCAATATGCATCCTGATGATGTTTGGAAACAGGTCAGACAGTATAAACTTGTGTGTACTTCAAGAAGTATGTGCACCAAATTCGTAACTCACACACCAACAAAAATTCATCCAGTGTTGTTCCCCTGACTGTGTCTGTTTTATAGGAAGTAGTCTGTTGGCGTGGAAATGACAAATGGATCACTTTCTGATGTCAACGATTTTTGTTTTTTCATTTTCACATCCTGAAATGTATCTGTTGGTCTGTGTCACTTCCGTCTGCATTTCTCTCAATTCTCTCTGCCCTGGCTTCTGTACAGAGTGCAGTCCTCGCCTTGTGCAACTGCTATATTTGCACAACACCCTCCCTGTGACTAACGACCAGCAGCTACAGATATTGGAAAGATGTTTGGTGTGGTTCCAGAAGGATGTGACAAGTCGGCAGTCAGGTCGAATGTATGACATGCTGTCATACTTCATTGGCCCAAAGTACACCACTGGCATATCTCTGGTTGATGGTGTGAAAGTTCAGGCATTCTGCATATTCAACCAAGACCATGAACCAGTGGAGACTTATGCGTATCCAGCTGATGTATACAATGGTGTATCAGTAGATATGACTGCAGCTAGACGTCATGGTTTCAGTGTTGTGGCATGTAAGGGTGTGAGTGACACTCAGTTGCTACGTCATCCTGTACGTACACCTAACGGATATGATACTCTTCGGGCATCGGCGCTGAAATCTCAAGGATGTTATATTATTCCGGTGAGTTCCAGTGCTAGTGTTTTGCCTTTGATGATTCCTGTCTTGATTCTACAGTGCAGGTTGGAAAAACGAGCTTGTGCGTAATGATAGTTTTGAGTGTTTTGACTACATGCTGCTGCCCAAGTCTAGTTGTGAGACATTAAAAATCTTTTATAGTCTCAAACTGTTCACCCATCTGAAGATTGTGTTCAGTGTTAAAGAGAGTTTTTTTTATTCTGGATGAGCTTAAATTTTGCATTACTTCACTCTTTCTGTCTACTTTGATAGATGGTACTCAAATATGGAGCTCGGCACTCACAGAAAAGCAGCCACACTATCCCGGATTTGCTGATCAATTATCCGTATCACATCACCGTGTTCAAAGACCTGTTACCCGCCAAGCAGTGATGAACATACACATTGATGTCGTAGTTTACATGATGGTAAGTTTACAGAATGGTGGATAGTGTATTAGTCTAGGTTTAGTCTTGTAGCATCATTGGTTGCAATATGTATAACTGATTGCAGAAGTATGTATAAAACTAATATAGTGTAGTGCGCTCGGCTCCTTTGCTAGGGCTGAAGTATGCGAGTTGTTGGGCGCAATTATTCGATCTGACCGAACTAGAAAAGCACATCGGCAAGGAATCGATCTGGCTATATCGTGGTGGTGATCTAGCTATGTTGATGAATACAACGGGTAGTGAGACTGATGGCCTGTGGAAGACTATAATCCAGGAATTCCAGTGTCATTGGTTGAAGATTACGATCAATGTTAACCTAGAAGTAGTGAACTTCCTCGTTATCACACAAGCAAACCTGTAAACCGGTCAATACCAATCATACCGAAACCGGGTGCCGCAGCGCTATTGTCATCGGGAAATGGTTAGGCAGTGCATGCATACATGCGCAAAGTGGTGCAACCTGCACAGTCCGCGCACGGTCCACTTGCAGGGGAGAACCCCGTGCGCAGGGTAACGCCAAATCTAACTATCTACAAGTGATAATACAAGATCTCCTCAAGTCTATGAGTAGAAAAATATCCGATATCTTGGCTGACCATGATGTGTTCCAGGAGGCTGTACCACCATAAAGGAGTGTGCTGATTAGCAGTAGGTATTGTGAACCCCTAGAGTTGTGTAGTGGACTATGTATTGAGAATATTGACAAATTCCTTTCTGATAGGTTCCTCGTGACTGGTCTGGGGGCACAGTAGAAACTGTGATTGGTTCAGCCATGTTTGTTTGGTATTGCGACTAGTCACAGGGCATTCGTTTTTTTGTTGACGATATGACTGGTTACAGGACCAGTGACTGTTCGCAGGGCCTGTACTACTCACAGGGTCTAGACTGGTCACATGGCCTGGACTGGTCACAGGGCCTGGACTGGTCACAGGGCCTGGACTGGTCACAGGGCCTGGACTGTTCACAGGGACTGGTTACAGGGCATGGACTGGTCATAAAGAATGGACTGGTCACAGGGCCTGGACTGGTCACGGAGTTCTACACAAAAAAACTAGACTTAGATACGCAGAAGTGCACCATATCGCTTACATACTAGAGAGGTTTTGCAGAGCGAACGTTCGCAATGATTTTCGCGTTCCGGGTTGCCAAAACCTACTCCACTTTTATGTTTATGTATCTATGTCATTCGGATCTTCCCAAGTTGTACAATGTACTGTTGAGATACCGAATTCAAATAAATCAATACCATACCAAAACTATTGCGAACGTTCGCGCAAAATTTGTGTTTTGCATGTTTTTCGCTCCAAGAAATTTTCGCGTGCACTCGCTTGTTTGAGAAATGGTCTTCATCCGATTACTTGTTTGTTGCAAGCGGCGGCACCCTGAGTCACGGCCTGAGACGAGAGCTCTTTGACTACGTTGTCCATGGCCGGAGACCCACAGACAAACGGGTTGGCTTGTGGCGTAATCTGGCGCATCAACACTTGAAATTCAAAAAGGCATCATTGATGTAACCGACTCTGAGCAGTGAGAAGACGAGCAGGCAGGAGATCGGAGATGGTTCGTGAGATGAAGCAACACGGGCCACCTCAAGTATGGGAAAGCTAGCACTCGCGGACCAAGCCAAGAATCGCAAGAGTAGAGATCAAGCACAAACATGAGGATTGAGGGTGGCTCACCGTGCACCAACGGGCCTCAAAGCTCGAAAATTACTGCGAAAGTTTGTTTCGCGTTTCCTGCAACTTTCGCGTTCAAAGCTGCGGACGTTCGCGCAAAGTTTCGCTATTCGTGACGTCAAACGAAAATTCGCGCGAACGTTCGCTCTGCAAAACCTCTCTAATCTTTGCCGTCTAGTTTTTCTTTAAAACTGATATCACAGGTCTTATTGATACAGAGCAAGAGTATAAAAGTGGATCACGGCATCCATGACTAATCAAAACGTATATAAACGGAGAATTCTACTGTCCAGAACTCATCTACAGAGTCGCACACTCTGCTTTATGTATTCTTGCCATCGCAACAGTATGGTACAGAGATACAGTCAACTTCGCCAATAACGACTACGGATATAACGACATTTCGCGAATAGCGACAGAATTTCCATGCCCAGAGCAAATTTCCATCTACAGTCAACTTCGCTAATAACGACTGCGGATATAACGACAATTCGCGAATAACGACAGAATTCCCATGCCCAGAGCAAAGTCAATTCTACCTGTATGCATATAATGAGACTTCGGGTACAATGACACTTCGCGAACAAGGACACTTTTCTGATGCCCCGCCGAGTGTCGTTATACGCAAAGTTGACTGTACATGCATGTACATGTAGCTAGCCACGTCAGGAAAGAAACTTGACCACCACCATAGAGAGTGGGGTGAGCTGTGTAATACTAATACTTTCCTGATCATAGTATTTGCTGTTTGTGTTATTCTACTGTTTTCTCGCAGATATCTCTGAACAGCAGAATACAAAGCCGAATTGTGCAGGGAGTGTGTTATATTATTTGAGACTGGAATATTTTTCTCTAGTGATTGAAGTTTTAATTTCTCCGATTCCTTGCTGTTTTTTCTGCTGAGCTGAACACTGAGGAAGTTGGTGCTGCGTCTTGTTTAATTCCACTCCATTGGCTGAGTAGCTGAGTAACCGAGTAACGGAGTAACTGAGTACAGCCGATGTGAGAGGGTAGTGCTGCTAGTGCTAGTGTAGTATGCGTGTTGATTGTGTTTTTGAAATCAAGGCATTGTTGAGTTTGTGCGTGAATGTTTGCGTGTCTGTGCATTCAATTCCCATATTTTTCTTTGTGCGTGCTTATACAATCATGTACCTTGATATTATTATTGTGAATCCTCCACATGTGTGTTTTCAGCGTCCATTGTCCTTAGTACACGTAGTACATGTAGCATCTGGAGTAGCCAGGATCCTGATTCTTGACTGAGCTACATGTTTAAAAGGTAGTAGCGTCTGCCGTGATCTGTGTGTGTGTGGGGGGGGGGGGGTTTCTGTAAGGCGGCACGGCACGACCATGTGAGATCGGATTATGATCAACTTAACTAAACCATGTGTGTTGTAGCCCGGTGATGTGGCTTGCTCGTATGAGGATATAGAACTAACATAGACCGATCCTAGCAATGGTCCTGACCAGGCTCTCTTGTTTCGCATCAACAAATCACTATTCTTCATGTGCATGTCGTGTAGTAGTGTACGGATGTTGTTATGAACTACTATATTAGGTGCCTTATGACTCTTGTGTCACAATGTATGTTGCTTTGCATGCTCATGCTGTGTCCACGCGCACTGGCTCCTTGCAAGACAAGCAATGGTGGACAGCTATTAAGCGAGCTGCTGGTGTTAGCCGCCAAAGCGATATACCTGTCCTGGTCGACAGATCTGGACACGAGCACACCACTGCCAGGGAGAAAGCCGAGTGCTTTGCCCAATACTTTGCCATGAAGTGCAGCCTTGGCTCCAACGATTTCTCTGCCTCTGATCAGCTCCCTGCTATGCAACTTGATGCCACGGCACCTCAGATCACAGCCATCCACTTTCGCCCAGGCAATGTCCGTCGTCAACTAGCGGCGCTAAATCCGCACAAGGCCACTGGCCCCGATGGCATATCAGCTAGAGTCCTCAAGGAATGCCACAGGGAGCTGGCAGAGCCTGCTGCTCGCTTGTTCTCTTGCTGCTTCAGAGCAGGGGTCCAGCCAGCTTCCTGGAAACCAGCCCATGTGTCCCCCATACACAAGAAGTCCTCCAAGTCAATTGTTTCGAATTATCGACCTGTGTCTCTCCTCAGCATCCTGTCGAAAGTAATGGAGAGTATAGCCAACTCCCAGCTTGTCAACTTCTTGGAACGCCACCGTCTGCTGAATACTCGTCAATACGGTTTTCGTCGTGGCACCGGAGCTGCAGACCTCCTGACTGTCCTACAGTATGAGTGGGCCAATGCCATGGCAGAAGGTGGAGCTATGCAAGCAGTTGCCGTGGACATAGCGGGGGCTTTTGACAAAGTGTTGTTGTTGTTGTAGAAGTTTATTTAACGTCGCACCACAAACAGGCGATTTCGCCTCCTTTGATACATGTGGACGACAGAAGGAATGAGGGAGGGGGGGGGGACAGAAGTATGGAGAGAGGAAGGGTAGAAATAAATAAGCAATCAACCTCAGGGCTACACCAAAGCAAAAACGGAATGGGAACATACTATATACAAAATAGTTTCATACATATATTGCAAAACACGTTTACTATTCTTCAGTCCGCTATACCACAGAAACACACTAGCCGAAAAGCATTTAAACGGAGCCATGATGCGCTTTTAGCAGGGCACAGAACTGAAGGTGGCTGGGCTCGGAACGGAGATCAGGCGGGAGCTGGTTCCACAGGACTGCGCCGATGAACTGCATGGTCGCTCGACCCGCAGGACCGGGCCAAAATGGTACTCGAACGAGGTGATGTGCTGCTCCCCGAGTGCGGTCACCAGTAACTCTCACGAAGAAGCTGGTGAAGAGGGAGCTAGCTCGGGAGAACAGACAACGACGGACAAAGATGAGGAGCTTAATGTTAAACATGTCCTCCAGGGTGGTGAGGCGGAGCTGTTCAAAGATCGGGCTCGTGCGCGACCACGGTGGCAGACCGAAGAAGCCGCGGATAGCGCACTTCGTTAGACGTGTGAGGGGCTCCATGTTGCCAATTTGAAGTGACGGATAAAAGGCGTTGGAAGCGTACGACAACCTACCCTGGATCATCGACCTGTAAAACAGGATCTTTGACGCCAGGGTGAGGCTTCGGCGGCTCCGCCACAGCGCACCTACTGACTTCCGCACCTGCTGGATTGTGTGATTGACGTGAGGCTCCCAGGAGAGCTGCCCATCTACCATTACGCCCAGGTACCGCGCTTGTTCCACAACTGCAAGGGCTGCATTCCCACAGCGAATTCGAATGTTATCTGTGTCAGGGGCTGGGCCTCTTGGGGTAATCAACAGAGCTTGCGTTTTCTTTTGGTTCAGCATTAGCCCGCGGTCCTCCAACCACTGCGACAGGCCAGTGATGGCTGTGCTTAGAGAAGAGCACACTTGTTCGCAACTGCCCGAGGCTTCAATTGCAATGTCGTCTGCAAATTCCTGGTTTGTGACCTGCTGGGGCAAGCAGCATCGAAGGTTACGGATGTATAGTGTGAACAGGAGGGGGCCGAGGACGGATCCTTGCGGCACCCCTCGACTGCATGCGACGTATTCCGAGCAATTTCCGCCCACGACTACGCGTTGAAGCCGCTCACTCAGGTAACTAGTGAACCATATCTGGACAGTACCGCCGACCCCAATGTCGGATAGCTCCTGTGCCAAGATGGTGTGTTTGACACAGTCGAAAGCCTTCGACATATCCACGAATATCACACCTGTGAGTTTGCGCTCATACTTCGCTTTCAGCCAGCGATTGACAGCTAGCACAAGAGCGTCCTCCGTACTGTGGTTCTTCCTGTACGCGAACTGCGAGTCAGGGAGAATACTGTGATCGGTCAGAAAGGATGTAAGCTGAGCTGAAAGTGTCTCATGCTGGCGTACTTTACAAGGCCCGCCAGCTGGGGATAGGGGGTTCACTGCTCGCATGGCTTACCCACTACCTGCAATGTCGCACCATCAAAGCTGTTGTTCATGGCCAGAGCTCATCGGTGCACCCTGTCCAGTCTGGCGTCCCACAAGGTAGTATCCTTGGACCTACATTGTTCCTCGTGTATGTAAACGACATTTCAAGCTGCTTGTCACATGGCACAAACCTGAACACTTTTGCAGATGATACAACTTTGTACTCCCTCCTTGACCAAGCCTCGAATGCCTCACTACAACGCAGCCTAGATGAGCTTCATGCCTGGGGCAAGAGATGGAAGATTGCGTTTGAGCCATCAAAATCGCAAACTATCACTCTGTCGCACCAGCGGAAGGATACAGTGCCTCCCCAGCTGTCATTTGGCGGAACTCCTCTCCCACCAGATGAATCTGTGAAGGTGCTCGGAGTGACGTTTGATTCTAAACTGAGCTACAGACTCCACCTTCGGCAAGTGGCATCACGTGCTAAGCAGCGGCTGGGCCTCCTGCGGAAGGCAGCACCCCTTCTCAGCCACGCGGGCAGGGTGACTGTTTACAAAGGATTCGTCCGGCCAATGCTGGAATATGCCCCCCTTGCGTGGATGGGATCAGCTCCCTCACACCTGGCCATGCTGGATGCTGTCCAGCTCCGCGCCCTAAATGTCATTGGCCCTGGTACCATTCTTCCCAGCCTCCTTGTTCGGCGAAAGGTCTCTGCTCTCTGCCTACTGTACAAACTGATGTGTGGCCATGGTCCGCCTCAAGTTGCAGCCATGTGTCCCCCGCCGGCTATACCGCCACGTCATCGCCGCACACGAGCAGCCCAAGCACAGCACCATCCCCACCAGCTTGAGCTGAATCTCTCGCCACGAGCTCCTGATTAGCTTCTGCGCTCTTTCCCATAGTGCATCGTGCCAGTGTGGAATAGACTGCCACAGGCAATTCTGGACAAGCAGCCAGCCCGGAAACACCTGCAGAGATTCAAGATTGCTGCATACCGTCACCTGCAACAGAGTGACTGGTGCTCTGCTCATGACTGGTGCTAGCCATGCACATCTATCACACTGGCCTGCCATCAGTGGACGCAAATCATTATGTTGACCCTCTTCTCAAAGTAGCATTATAGTCATAGCGACGATATGCCGCTGAACTCTTTCTCTCTATACTTATACCTCTCCACCTCTTTCACTCTCTTTCCCTCACTTACCCATCTCTCTCTTTCTCTCTCTCTCTCTCCTCTCTTCTTTCTTGTGCACTCTCTCTGTCTGTCTCTCTCTCTCTCTCTCTCCTCTCTCTCTCTCTCTCTCTCTCCTCTCTCTCTCTCTCTCTCTCTCTCTCTCTCTCTCTCTCTCTCTCTCTCTCTCTCTCTCTCTCTCTCTCTCTCTCTCTCTCTCTCTCTCTCTCTCTGTCTCTCTGTCTCTCTCTCTCTGTCTCTCTCTCTCTCTCTCTCTCTCTCTCTCTCTCTCTCTCTCTCTCTCTCTCTCTCTCTCTCTCTCTCTCTCTCTCTCTCTCTCTCTCTCTCTCTCTCTCTCTCTCTCTCTCTCTCTCTCTCTCACTCTCTCTCTCTCTCTCTCTCTCTCTCTCTCTCTCTCTCTCTCTCTCTCTCTCTCTCTCTCTCTCTCTCTCTCTCTCTCTCTCTCTCTCTCTCTCTCTCTCTCTCTCTCTCTCTCTCTCTCTCTCTCTCTCTCTCTCTCTCTCTCTCTCTCTCTCTCTCTCTCTCTCTCTCTCTCTCTCTCTCTCTCTCTCTCTCTCTCTCTCTCTCTCTCTCTCTCTCTCTCTCCGCCATTCCTCTCGCCCCCCCTCTCCCATGGTGCTTGCTGTGTACGCCGATCCCGAGACCCTTGGTCGGGGGAGTCCACTGCATCTCACCAGCGCAGCTCATGTAGCGCCTACACACCCATTGTTGTCTTTTTTGTTTCGTCTTCGTTTTGTCTCCCCTTCTTCCGTAGGTATGGTACGCTTTCCAACGGCCAAAGAGAGTTGGAAAGCTTGTGTCTTTGTGGGTAACCTGAACATTTGGGCTCATGCAAAATCGCACCGATTTTGGGATTTCCCCACAACTTTTTGCGTCCGCAAAAATGTTGTGCTGGACCGCATTCCTGTCACTTCGCAGTGGCTTTTCGTTGGTGCAGTTTGTATCCCACCCTCCCACCCCTGACTTCTGGGTGTGTATTTATCGATATATTATCGTATTGGTTTTTCTTATTGGCCATGTGGCTGTTGCAGTTACGACTGCTTTT